ACGATTTCTGTTGATTTTTCCCCCCTCTATATGAGCTATACTTTCTTGTTTCTTTGCATGTCTCATAATTTCTTTTGTTGAAAACTGAACAATTTAAAAATATAAGATGGCAAGTATAGAAATCAGATTTGTTGCTCCTTCCCTTTAAGGTTTGTTGTTGTTACTTCAAGTTTTTTAGTGACTTTCCTGAATTCTGTAAAAGCTATTCTTTGTCGTCTGCAGCCACTAAAATCTCTACTCAGTTAGCTTAGTCTTTAGCTAATTATTAGATAGGGGTTACCTTAAGTACTCCAAACAGTAAGTCTCCCTTACTGAAGGGCCTGTGTGTATTGGAGCACATCTTCAAGACTGCAACAGTTTACAACTCTGCCTAAGCCTTTATTTCCTGTTTATGCAGAGCCTCAAGATCATCCAGAGATTAGGGCCTTTTCAGGTCTTTTCCTGGGCATGCAAACCCTGTACATGCATGTGGCTTTCTACACCCCCAGGAGTATGTTGGGGCTTTTTAAAGCCTCCTATGAACATCTCACTCCCCACAGTTTCCTTTTAAGTTTTTTTTACCAGTCTGTTTGCCCCAACAGGTAGCTGTGCTATTTAAACAATTGCTACTGGTTGTTTCCAACAAACAACCTGGGGCTAGGGCTTTTCTCATTGAGTCAGATTAATTAAAGATAAGCACTGTAAGTGGGACTTTTCTAGGGAGCTGCCAAGCAAATTAAACAAGTGACAATTCTCTGAGGATGGGGCTTCTTGGATAACTCCAAACCTATTTGGGGAACTTCTAAACTATTCCAGTTGTTGGTTTTCACAGCTACTGCAGTTCAAGGTTGCTGGCTTTCAAGGCTACCACAGAGCTGGGGAGAGATGGGATCAGGACAAGTTAAAATGTCACAAAGCTTATTATTCTTACAGAGATTCAACCATTTCTCTTTAATACATGTTTCTCATGTTTCCTAATTAATCCTTTGGTTAATTTCTGGAGTTTGAAGAAGTTGAATTTGACAGTTTCTGCCAGTGTTCTCCTTGCTTTTATGGAGAATCTGATCTTTGGAGATCCTTACTCCACCATTCTTGAAATGTTTCTCCAGAATTTCTTTTAATAGAAAGTGGGATACAATGGATTTCTCTTAAATTAATGCAAACAGCATATACTGAATTCACTTAGAACATCAGACATTCCACCTATGGTATACCAACCAATGAGAACCATTTGATTTCTCAAATTTCATAGAATGTCAGCACTAGTTTCCAGTCTATGGAATCCACCCTCAGTAAGAACACAGAATATTAGAACACCAGAGTACAAGCTCAAGTCTGTCTGCTTTCCAGCTCCACCTGAGCAAAGAGTCCACCGATAACTGCAGACCAGGGTTTCTCACACCTTCACACCCCACAACCAATTTTTATCAGAAATATTTTTAAATATCCTTTCCATTATTCTAAAAAACTTATAGATGGATAGACAATACAACAACTTACCTCAGTCATGTTTTAAATCAATGTCTAATATAAAGGAGAAATAAAAGGAAGCAACTTATGTAAATATGTAATTCAATGTGAAAATGGCCATAATGACTGAAGCCACAATAAGGTAGTCAAATGCTTGTATATGGTAAGTGTACCAGGAGTGTGGCCACTACAATTGCAGACTAATGCAGCTGCAGCAGTTTTGACTTGCAACTCAAATGCCATGAGCAATGTTGCCACTGGTGAGTTTTCAAAATGGTGAAAAACTCTTGATAAAATGCACAGAGTACAACCTTTTCTCACTTGATAGTTGCATTTTTTTGATAAGTATTGCAAATCTGCAACAAAATGTAATATGGAGTTTTTATATGTAAAATGGGACTGATAGTCTAGGCTCAGATAATTATTGTCAATGCTCACCAGCTAGAAACCATGAGGAACGGACCTGTGGTTGAACAAAGTTGGGTTTATTAGTACTTTTTGCACAAGGGAGACCACACCACGGGTGTCTCAGATTGAGGGAGCTAAGGGCTTATTATAGGATTTGGGCCTACAGGTGGGCCTAGGAGATTTCAAGAAGGGTTCCATGGATCACAGTTGGATTGGGTGCTTTCAAAAAGTAAAGCAAGCCCATGAGTGGTATCTTAATAATTTTAATCTAGAAAGTAGGAAGGATAGGACGATCTAAAGCTATATTGAGTAAAGTAGCATCAGTCACTCATGTAAGCCAGGACAGCATGTTTGGCCTTTTGTGGTTTGCACAGTACTATTTCTATGTGCCTTCATGACCAGTGTCCTTATTTTTGTCTTGCTTCCTCACGGTCAGAGTGGCCTAGTCAGATGTTGGTGTTGTATAAAATTGTTAATGTTCAACAGGAGAACACCACAGTCTAGCTGTTAGGAACAGGTCAACTTCCAGGGGTTGCTTTTTCCTTTCTCATTAGAAACAGGATTTTCAGGTACATAACTATTCATGAGATATTTGGAAGTTATTAGACATGCATGACAATTTTTGGCCAGGTCCTACACTCTACAAGCGCCTGGCATTCCTAGGCTCCACCCACTAAAATAACCAATCTTTGTGTTAACCGACCCCTCCCTCTCCACATTACAAAACACCCTCCCCAGTGGGTGGCACCCTCTTCATGAGAACCACTGCTCTGAATATTCTAAATCTACCCCCTTAATCACATTAAAGGATGCAAACTTTAGAGTACATCAGCCTACACCCTCACAGATCTAACCCAAGTCTCACTTTAATGGCTTTGCATCTAAAGTTGGCTGTAAATGGCCGTCTAGATCAAAGGCCATTTATCCACTGTAGAAAGGATGCCAAGAGCATTGGCCACCACAGCAGCTCGTGTCCTCTAAAGGAAGCCCTGCATGAGATGTGGCAGGCACTGCTAGAGGCCTACCCAGTGTCCCTTTCCCCTACTAGCCAAATCCCTTTTATTCAAGGCAGCAATGTGCCTCTCCCCTCCCTTAATAACCTGTTTTCCCAGATTTTCTTACCCCTGGGTGACACCATTTTGGCAAGTGAGATGTAAGTAAAAGCAAAAGTGTCCTGTGATTCCTCAGAAAGCTTTGCTTTTCTGAAATAGGGAACAGATGCAATCAGAGCTTCCATGCTTCTCCCTTCCTTGCAAACGGATGACTCATCCTCAGCTGTGACTGTCATCTTATGACCCTGAGGCAATGAGCATAGGGACAAAACCAGCTTTCTAAGGAACTGTTTAGTAACTGCATCAACACCAGCAATTGCCTACTTTCAGACTTCCTTTGTTGAAAAATACACAAACCCTTTTTTTTGTTTAAGCCATTATTTGTAGGATATTGTTACTTGGAGTTGAACAAATTACTAACAGGAAATTCAGTTACAACAGATAACTGATTAAATTTAAAAATGGAGATTTATTGGACCAAACTATATGTGGGGAGGGGGAGCAGGTTGAGTTAAATCTTCATTTTTTCATAGCAGGAAGTCAACAGCTAATTATAAAGTTACTAAGAAACAGTGTAAGCATATTATTTAGAGATATAGAGGTAAATATCCCAAAACATGAAAACTAAGCAGTTGAAATGTTTGCTTCTGGGGAACAAAATTGAGTGGGATAGGACCTGCATTTGTCACCTTCTGTACTACTTGATTTTCTGATCACGAGTGCTTACTTTCTTTCTTTTTTTAATTAATCATAGTGGGGAAAAGTTACATATGAGATTACATTTCCCTTGGCACTAACTTGTAACTTCAGGAATGATACACTTCTTCCTCTCTTAGTTAGAATAGCATAAAGGCTTAAGGAGTGTTTCCTGCTTCACATAAGAACTAGATATTCTTCTGATTTTATTTGTAATTGAAAAGTATATTTAACATACAATTTGGGGTTACCTTCTCCAAAACCAGGAATAGACTTGTTTCACTTTTCCTGGCAGTGGTCTGCAAACAGGGCTCAGGAGGCGCCTTGGACATGGGAAGAAGTTAGGGCTGAGAGGGTGACTCAGAACGTCCAACTGTTTCCACTAGAGCAGCTCTGCTTTGTTATATATATTAAGTTTTGACACAAGACTTAGAAAAAAAGGTTGTACCAGCATGAAAAATCACTGCACTACAGCAAGTTAGTACAGCTGAACCTTTACTGAAGTATTATGTCCTAAACACCACTAATGCAATTAGGGGGATGCTAAAACTATATGTAGCAATAAGAATTCAGTTGGACTCTAGCAACAGGAAAGCCACAACAACAACACTTAAACAAGACAGAAGTTTGTTTCTTATTTAAAAATTCAGATAAACTGTTCAGGGTTGCTATCCCCATTAGAGTGAACACAATCCCCACCTTACTTCTCTGCTATTCAAAAACTGAATAGCATTTACCCCATTCCAAGCTCCCCCTATGATGTCTACATTTCAGGAAAGAGAAAAGGGGAGGGCATGGGCATGACCCTCTTTTAGGAATACGTCCTGGAAATGTACCCAGTGGCCAGAACTCAGTCACATGGCCACACCAAGATGCAGCAAGAAAAAACTGTCTCTGTTGCCATGTCCCAGCTAATAAGTAGGAAACATGCAGAAGGGAAAATGGATATTGGGAAACAAGTGGTAAATCCTGCCACCTGCATATTCCAAAATTCAATTCATATTTTTTAGGATTGCATGTTCAAGTAACAACATTGTTATATCAAAACCTATACCAATGTGTCCCATTAGTCTCAACTCTAAAGATCTAGGTTAGCTCTTTCAAATTAAATAATAACATGTCTTTCCTCACCAGACGAGCCTAAGTAAAATGGCAAATAAGCCCTTAATAAATGAATTACTTAATAACTTAATGATTCTTAAGAAAGGAAAAGACATTCGAGACAAATATTTCCTCTAAACACAGTAACATATCCTGATGAGTCTTCCTGTAATCTGTGTTGTATTTCCTTGGGCAAATCACTCAGTATCCTGAAATTCCATTTCATCATCTGCCCACAGACATCACACAAAACAGGTTTGTCAGGACGATCAAATGAGATTACACGTGTCAAAGTGCTTTGTAAACAGTAGAGTTTTATACAAATATAAAGTTATGCACCTTCAAAGCTATCACTCCAATAAAGACACTTATTCAATTAAACAAAACAGCTTTTAAAAAGTTTTAACAATGTATAAATAATTGACAAAATAATCTGTTGATTAAGACTCCACCAAGTCTACAGTATACCTACAAGAGAATTTACAGATGTCTATAACAGTCTTTAGACTGCTATACATATTGCTTTTTAAGAAATACCATTAACACAAATGCATGATTTACAATATCCCCACTATAGCAAGAAAAAAATAGATTCATAAAATAAAATGTCTTTTAGGCATTTATTATGCCAAGTACTTAAATGATTATTCTTACTATGACATAAGAATAATACTCTTTTCGTGGTAAAAGATTTCATTAGGCCAAGGAGCACTGAAGCTCTTCAGGAGGTTCCAAAGTAAACTCCAGCTATCCTTTCCAAAAAATAAACAGAACAGCAGCAATCGATAAGTATCCCTTACACATAAACTACAAAAATTCATTTATATTAATTGGACCTAAAATACATGACTTGTTACAATAAAAATAAACAAAATTTTAGGAACTAGCTCATGCCACTGAGCCAGATTTGGTTTTTATCTACCTGTGAATGCCTACGATAAGAAGTTTCATCATTAAGTATATATTAAGTCATAAAATTAACAATTATTTCTAACATACATAAGCCAAAGTGCTCACTCTTACCATGGAAGCAAAACTTTCTTCTGAAAATAATCTACAGAAATATATAAACACATAGATTTGGAGATGAGATTAAGAACATCCTTCTACGTTCTATGGACCAGAATGCAAAGGTCTTTATTACATGTGTACACGAACATAAACATCTTCATCAAGCTGTGATACAAGGATATTACACGACCGTGCATACATATATGTACACCACGAACCACATTCTGACAGTGTTTCTAGCAACACCATATTTTCAAGACCCAAATGCTAGAAACAAAATAAAAACTTAATTTGAAAACTACTTTTCCTTTTTTTTAAAGTAAATTTTAAGTGGAAAAACAAACACAACACTCCTCTCTGCAGCATGTACTGTGAGCTCTAAAAGGTTCGGTCAAGAATCTCTTCAGCTGTTCCCCAGTGTAACAGCACACATGGGCTTCTCTCCCTCTTCAGGAAGCCTGATCATCTCCAGTGTTCTGCAAAAGAGTAAGAACTCCTTAATAAAAAGCATCAACTTCAAAGCACTAGGAAAGCATTCCGTATTTGTAAGCAGAGCCAGCTACTACATTAACTTGCATTCAATGGCCCACTTATGTTAAAAATTAATACATGCTGGAGAAGCAAATCAAGGGACCCACGCAATGCCCAGCAAGTCAGTGTGATCTTGGCAGGGCACCGCCAGGAGCAGTGTGAGTCCACGAATCCTATCCACGTTATCTCCAGCTCAACGTCCATCCCCACTTCAGAAACACTGGAAATCCTGAGGGGAACCTCCTAAGCCACACCTGACGATTACCGTAGGTGGATCACAGCATAGGTATACGGGTACCGAGCAAAAACGCTCAGGAGGAGATTCATGTCCCTGCAAAAATATTAATTTCCTCTACTTCTTATCCTTCATGCAAGAGGAACTGTACAGGAGAATGAAAAGAACAATGAATTTCAAGAGAGGAGGCGGGCCCAAGCCCTAGTTTTGTTCCACTTATTAGCTGTGTATTCTTGAGTAGTAACAATCTCTCAGGGCTTTAGTTATCTAAATGCAATCCTTGGACCAGCAGCATCAGCACCCTCTGGGAACTTCTCAGGCATGCAAATGATGAGGCCCACCCAGAGCAACCGAATGAGGAACTGGCGGTGGGACTGCCACTGTGTTTCAGCCCCCCAGGTGATGCAGATGCAGGCTCAATTTTGAGAACCACTGTCCAGGACACTACTACTGTCCTTGAACCTACTGCATGAAACAAGGACCTAATCTCCCAAGAGATTTAACAATCTACCATTACTACTTATCCCACTGAAAATCCTGATCTAAATATTCATATTGGGGAATTGTACTAAAACCAGTATGTTCTTAAAAAACCTGAGTCCTTTAAAACAATCTTTAATTACAGTCTTATTTTGTTTCTACTCGTTCCTACAATATAAACCCTAAAACCTTACAATCATTCTTCAAAAGTGTCACAGCCACCAGAATTAATGGAAAGCAACTGAACTTTTAAAAATAAGGTATTACCAATGATAGTTTATCTCTCTGATTTTAAAATAATTTCAGGACACTAACAATACATTTCTGGTATGTCCTAAAAGTCTCCAAAAAGTAATTAAAATAACTTTATCATCATCATCATCATCTCATACCTAAATCAATATATGCCTTAAAAACTTTAAGTATTTCATAAAAATTGAACTCTAAGAGAGTTAGAAATCACTGTGTTAGTCACTGACCACATCCAATTGTTCCTCACAGCCAGGAAACACTTACTTGTCTTAAAAACTGCTTTCCCAGATAAGACGTGGCCATGCTGGTCAAGTTCTTTCTGCTGCCCACTTTGCACCTGATGTAGCCATACAGGTTGGCACCTTGCAGCACCACACCCATGGTAACCACCGCCTGGGAAAGAGAAAAAAGGCAACGACTGCTGGCCTAATACTGACTGACCTTTCTCTGTGCCACTAAGCGAGACAGGCAGAGTCCCGGGAGGAGAAGGCAAAGGGAGCGCCACAGAGGGGGCTGTGCCCATAAGACGGCGGCACCTGCCAGAGCAGACCCACCCAACATATGCTGCATCACCTGCCTAACAAATATTTATTAAATACACATGCTACACATGAAGTGGGGGCAACATTCCCTATTTTCCATGGGTCTGTGTGTAAAGATGTAAAAAAACTAAATGAGACCCAGAAGAGGCCCAAACGTTAATTACTCCTTTAATACTCCTTTAAGAATTACAGAAGAATGGTCAAGAAATAGATCAAGTTCAATAGACTGAGAGCACGCAGAGGTGAATCCTGTTCTATGCTATGTGCACCTCAACTGGCTTCCAGGAAAGCAAACAGAGCCTCAAGGCACAGTCAACAGGTGCGTCTCCGTGACAAAGGGCTGGGTGGAGCGCTAGGAGGAAATGCACTTTGGCAGTGTTTTCTTCCTTGTGCCTCATCAGGGATCCCACAGGTGACCCCACTAAGATCATTAAGGAGTGAGAATTAGAAACTCAAGCCTACTCTTAAATATTAAGAAAATAAAATTAATTAGGACAACATAAGGGGATCACATGGTTAAACATTCTAGAATGGTTTGGCAAGGTTTTCCTGTAAAGGGCCAGACAATAAACATTTCAGGCTCTGTGGGCCATATGGTCTCTGCGGCAACTACTCAACTCTGCCATTCTAGTTCCAAAGCAGCCAGACAATATATAAACCAACAGGCAAGGCTGTGTTCCAATAAAAATGTGCAAAAACAGGTGTTGGACTGAATCTGGCCTGCAGGCCATAGTTTTTCAAGAACCTGTTCTTGAAAAAACAACTCACAACTCATCTGCTACAGAAAGGATTACCTGGGAAATGTTCACATCTTTAAAAAGCAAGACAGCTAAACAGAACATCTTTTTCCAACCCACACTTACTCGCCTTACAAGCTGATTTTAAGCAAGTGAGAGGGTTTAAATGTTTTAAGGAATAGGTTCAAATACCTGTAAAGGAAGTAGAGCTGTACTTTCTGTTTTTAATTTATGTTTTGCAGGAATAAACACTTAGAACTATATAAGGTTGCTAGTTACCTAAATGAACATAAAAACTGTTTTTATTTAAATAAATTTCCTTCAACTTCCAACATTTCTCAAACGGGGCCCTGCAAGGTAAGCCTCAGTCACACTAAGCATGGCACCGCGAAGGCATCCATGTTACCCAGGGGCAACAAGTTTTAAAATGTATTTATAAGTTAAAACAAGCAAGCTTCTGGTTTACAATGGTGTAGTAAAGCCAGATATCAAGATCTCCCTCCCTCTAAGACAGAAAGAGAAGAGATTTTTTTTTAAGGCAATTAAGCAGGTACCAATAAACATTAAAAATGGGCTGGTTGTCAAAAAAGAACCAGCTTGGTGTCGCTCTATGTGGCTCCAAACTCTCCAAAAAAACTCTAAGAAAAATTTCACTAGTAATCACCACCCTTAACAACTTAGAGAGGCATAAGGCCAGAGGATTTAGAGAATCCTAAGAGAAAATGCAGAAACAGACATTGTAAGGACAGGAAGAAGGCCTCTCTTTTTCTTTGCTGTGGCCTTTCACGGTTTATGAGAAGCACCTGGTAATTAAACCCTAAGATTGTTGGCTTCTCTGTTCAAACTGCAGACAAGATAAACTACTCTCAGGGCTACATTCCTGCACCCCCCTCCTCCTGCTGTTTTTACAGCTCAGGGATAATTCGCACCATGGAGTCTCTAGTTAGGAGACAGTTCCCTTCCCTCCTCCCCTTCAAACAAGCCTTCTTTGAAAGCCTTCATAAGTTTTGCTCTGAGCATGTTTTACAGGCCTGGGAAAATACTGATAAGACACCTCCCTAGGACATCTGCCGGACTCTGCCAGACTGTCTCCTAGAAAACAAACTTTTCCAGTACCTGCTCAACTTCAAGACAACCTAAACTCCTCCCTTCCTTGTAGCCTAGCAACAGCCCCTGCTTAAAAGAGCAGGCCACCTTTTGTTTCTTGCCCTTGTATAGATTAGCAGTACACCACTCTTTCCCTTCTGAGGAAAGTATAGTAAACTCCTGCATCTATCTCTTCTCTCAGTTGTGAATTCTTTTACAGGGCATGTCACACCGGCCAAAACCTAACAGATATGAGAGTAGAAGCCCCTTCCAACCAACAGAAGCAGGAAAATCCCAGCAGCCTGCCCTGGCAATGCCTCCCTGGGGGGAGGAGGGAAGGAAGAAGGATCACCAATCAGCAAGCAAATGACCTGAAGAGCACAGAGGGTGGGAAAACACTCATGAAAAGCCTGGATGATACCACCTTCCCACCCTGTGGTCTTAACATAGGAGCACAAACAACCTTCTACATAACCTTCACCAGCTCTGTTTTGGGGAAGTGGAAACACTGCTGTAGAAAGGTTGGGCTGACTCTCCTAGAATAGAACACACACCCACCAAGAAACAAGAACTCCACTACATCTAACGGGCAAAGCCGGAGCAAGCCAGCCAAGGCAGCCAGAGGCCTGGCTACGTTCTCCTCACACCTGCGCCTCATGCCACTAAAGTCCAGCTCACAGCAGAGCCCCAGTATCTCAGACAACAGAGGGAGGCAGTCAAAGGGAATTCACCTACACTAAAGCAGCATAAGGTCTGGACAAGGCTGCCACTGTAAGGAGCAAAGTGAAGAGGGAAAAGGGGCAAGGCACCTATGCAAAACTATGCCAAAATAAAATTTAAAATAAGGAACACTATGCAAAAGATAAGTGAAGAATCTATTCTGAAAGAAATATAGTCCACCAAAATAAAAAGCATTCCTGGGAATACTTCACCCTTTGGAAGAACCTAAAGATAAGAATTCAAAGAGAATGAAGGTAAGATAACACAACAGAAGGAGATGAAAGTGAAGCTGGCAGAGCTAAGGAAGCAGAGAAAAGCCTTTGCTGACCACCCAATCCAAAGTAACCCCCGTTCTCTCCCCTGCACTCCCCATTCTCACCTGTATCACTACTTTCTGATACCCTGCTCTCTATGTGCTGTATGTCCACATCATGCTCCACTGGAACATAAGCTCTATCGGAGTGGTTATCTTGGTCATCCCACCCCTAACAAATATCCCCCGTACCTAGAAAAGGTCTAGCATGTGGCAGACTCCGAACAAATAGAAGAAAACTGAGAGATCAAAGCAATTAAAGATGGTACATGAGAACAGATAAACAATCTAACAGTGATAACTAATACCTCAGAATTAGAGAAACCAAAAAACAGAACATAAATCTAAAGACTTTAACAGAAGACAATTTTCCTGATTCAAAGCAAAGCCTGCCCCTACATACTGGAGGGACACACAGTTTCCAGAAAAATCAATATAGAAAGATAAACACAAAGACATTCTGGTTATATTTTAACACTTCAAGAATAATTTTTAAATTTTGTCCAGGGAAAAGAATGACTCACTCACTTCTGTGGAGGTTATGTAAGCTAGGCCTCAGATTTCTCTGCAAAATTCAATATATAAGAAAGTAATGAAGTAATGTCTCCTAAATGATGAGAGAAAGAAGCTGGGACCCAAAAATATTATCCTAGCCAAGTCATCATTCAAGAATAAAGTCAAAAGGCTCATATTCTCAAACATGACAGAGCCAAAGAAAACACCTACAAGTTTTTTTTTAAAAAATCACCCCCAACAGAGAAAGGTTAAAAGGATCACGAACAAGATGGTGGCACAGATAACCTCTGTACCTGCCACCTCCCAAAACCACATCAAAATTGCAACTAAAATACAGAACCACCATCACTCAGAACCTCCTGAAACCTGGCTGAACAGAAGCCCTACAACCAGGGAACTGAAGAAGCACCAAGACTGGTAGGAGGGGCGCAGATGTGGGCGGATCCGAGCTTAATCCCTGGAGACGAGGCCGCGGGCCCACCCCCGGTGCCTCGGTTTAAGCCCAGGAAGGACATCTCAGAGATGGAGGTTTCCCGGAGGAGTGAGGGGTCCCAGCCCCACAACACGCCCAGGGCTCCAGGGCCGGGAAGAGATGTCCCCACAACTCTGGGCTGTGAAAGCAGCGGGGACTGTCACTGAGAGTCAGGGAGGCTGCGGGAGCCCCAGCAGCTCCTCTTAAAAGGCCCCACATGGACTCACTCAGACACGCTCCTTCTGAGCCCCAGCACTGCGCAGCAGCTGGAAAGAAACCTGGGACATTTGGGGAGGAACTAACCTGCCTGGAATTGGGGCGAGAGGTGGAGGGGTGGCTTTCTCCCAGGCAGAAGAGCAGGCAGAGGCCATTGCTCCTTTGACAAGTCCTCCACGCACAGAGCCAGCAGGCAGACACCATATTTGAATCGCCAACACCTGACTCACACCTTTGGCCCCTCCCTGCCTGCAAGCTCATCCAGGCCATTTCCACTGGCTTTTCTATGCAAGGAACCTCTCAAGCCTCATACTTAGGACTTTCCTAAAATCTCTCAAACAAGCAGCAGTGGACCCCATACGGCTGGATAAATGGCCCCAGGCCTGGCACTAGTGGCAGCCTGCATTGGTTCATAGCTTGGCCTCTCCTGGACACCTCCAAGCCCAGCACAAGTAGCAGCCAACTAAGGTTTGCTGTGTAGCTCATGCTGGGTGGCCCTGGGCAAAGCACAGGCAGAGGCTGACTTTGCACCTCCCAGGAGGCCCCAGAAACAGTGCACCTAGTGGTCAGACTCGACCACGCTGGATTACAACCCTACCACATCCACGAGTGACACACTCAAGGGGCACACTTGGTGAAGTCAATCCTGCTCCACAGGGGTGTCTCCAGCACAGCAGCTCTTTGGCTGTAGTTGCAGCTGGTCCTTAGCCGACTGGCCTGGGGGTCAATCCCTCCCAATGACGCCAACAGCAACCAAGGCTCAACTACCACAGGACAGTGCACACAGCCCACACAGGCGAGCACCTAGAAGGACCAGCTCAGGCGACTGGGGAGGCTGAGCCACTGGACCCTACAGGACACCTACTACACAAAGCCACTCTACAAATTCCAGAAGACATAGCAGCACTACCTAATACATAGAAACAAACACCTGGAAGCAGCCAAAATGTGGAGGCAAAGAAACATGTCACAAAGGAAAAAACAGAAGAAATCTCCAGAAAAGGAACTAAATGAAATAGAACCAAGCAAGCTACTAGATACAGAGTTCAGAATTATGGTTATAAGGATGCTCAAGGATATTAGTAAGAGTATGATGAAAATAATTGAGAAAAT